TCGGGCTGGCGGAGGAGGGTTGCCATATGGATAGAGCCGCCCGAGGTCCCCCGCCGTGCCCGGCCAGGCTCCGAAGGCCTGTCAGTCCTTCCTTGTCTCCGCGGAGCGGCTGTGCTGAGACGTAACTTACTGCTGCAAAGTTCGCACACGCGTTTCTGTAGAAACTGTCCCAGGAAAAGGAGTCATGGCTGCCTTGGCGTCAGCCTCTCCACAACCACCGGGAACTGCGCTCGGAAGTCCTCTGCTGCTTGTGGGGTCCTGACAGCCACGTTAGGAGAAGGGTGGTTCCAGGTGGAATCCTCCTGGCTTTCCGCGTCCCCTGGGGAGGCAGATGTGCAGGCGGCGCGCACTGCGCTTTTTTGCAGGCTTGGCTTTCTCTGGGTCTGTCCCTTTTGCTGCTGCTGCCCTCCTTGTGGTGTGACTGGGAGGGAGCCCTGACCATGAGGCCACTGGTCAGCCTTGCAGAACGGCCATGATACTGTGGTGCCTGAGGCTACCAGGCAAAACCGCCAGGAGAGGGCCCTGCAGAGTGGCTGGGCAGGCCCATACATAGCACCCTGCAATGGTGGTCAGTGTGGGGAACCAGCACTGGGCAGCGTCCAGGTTCCAGGAGGGTCAGCCAGGTGTGATGGACAAGGAGCCGGGCTCCAGCTCAGATGCAAGTTGGCAAGTGTCCTCTACCTGATCCCAAACTTTGCCACAGCACCATAAAGCAGGTCCTGCTAGACCTAGGGGATCTCCAGTGGCCAAGGGTGCCCAGGCTTCAGAAGTGGGGAAGTGGGGGAGGCCAGGGGTTTGGGCCACACCCTGCTGCCTCCCAGCCAGTCATTTCTTTCTGCAGCCTGCTGGTTTGTCCATTTTGGGACCCTTGGCTTTCTGACCAGGCGTAGTGGGTTGGTTGGGAGATAAGGGTTTTCTGGGAACCCTCTTTGGTGCTGGTCAGTTCTTGGGCAGCACTAGGATGCCAGGCTGGGGTCTGGGAGGCAGTTTCTGGCTTCTCAGTTTTCACAGGGGTGAGTGGGAGTGGATGGGTAGCTCAGGCTGCTCTTCAGCCATGACAAAGTATCACAGGCTGGACGGCTTAGACAATATACTTTTCTCCCAGTTCTGGAGGCTGGAAGTACAAGATCAAGGTGCCAGCTGATTTGGTTGCTGGTTAGGGCTCTTCCCGGCGTGCCGATGGTCTCCTTCTCACTGTGTCCTCACATGGTGGAGGGAGAGTGCTCTCTGATGTCTCTTCTCATGAGGGCACTAATCCCAACATGAGGCGCCACCCTCCTGGCCTCATCTGAACCTAATCACCTCCCGAAGGCCCCACCTCCAAATACTTTGGGGGTTAGGGCCTCAATATATGAATTTGGGGGGACACACACAATTCAGTCCATAGCAGTGGAACTCAGGAGAGGGGACAGCTGCCTGTGCTGGGCAGACACGAACCTGTGGCCTGCCACTCACCCTGTGAACTGTCTGATGTGCTCAGGTTCTGTCCTGAAATGGATACCCAGCATAACATTTTCAGATGCTAATGACCTCATCCAACACAGAACAACTCAGAGAGCTGCACCAGCCGAGGCATCCCTGATACAAGAGGGGCTTTTCCTGCACTTTTAACCAGGCGCCTTCTCTGGTGTTCTCGACAAGATGGGCCCTGTCGGAGCTGTCAGGAACTCCCACACATTTGGAGTTTGTTTTCCTGGAAGCATGTGGGTGATTCTCCTCCTGTCATCTGTGTGGAGGGTTATAATTTCCGAAGCCAGATAGCGGTGGTGTCCCTTGCCACAGACAAGGAGACAGCCTTGGGGAACTTGTATTTCAGTGTCTCCTGAAGCCAGGCCGCTGGTTCTCGCGTGCCCCTTGGGTTTTGCCCCTGCCCTCCATCCTGGGGACAGGAGACCATGCCGCGGTTGAGGGAATCCCAGAGAGGTCTAGAGGTTGTGGGCTGAAGTGGCAGCTGAGTGTGGCGCGTGTTGTGCAGCCGGGCGAGGGCCTACTATGTGGGAACAGGTGGGGTGGCTGGGTGGCCACTCTAACCGCCTCAGCCTTGGAGGCAGGAGCTAAGAGTCCTTATAGGTTGAAGCATCCTGCCCAAGGCCGCACAGTGCTAAGTGTCCCGTCTGAGATCTGACCAGCCCCATGGCCATGCCCCACAGCATGGTTGCTGGCAGCTGGCAAACCAGCTGGCCTGTGTGCCAGATGGCCTGGCATTAGGCGGCCTTGCTCCGGAGGCGTCTTCCCGCTCTTGTGCCCAGCACCTTCCCCAGGCTGTGCTCCGTGGACAGTCCTGCTCAGCAACAGCTGTTGGAGGGGAGTGAGGAGTAGCTGGATCTGGCAGAAGTGTCCTGCTTTGTGCCGGCTCCCTGGAGCTGTGCTGGCTGGCAAGGGCTGGGCCCTGGAGTCTGGATTAGGAGGGGACACATTTATCCCACTTTGGGGTGTCAGCCAGGGGTCTGCTGGTCGCTGCAGGGTGCAGAGGTGTGATGAGCTGCCGGGACTCATTGGTCCAGAGATTGTGTGGCAGGAAACCAAGGAGGATGTGGGTGCTCCATGGGCAGCCGCCTGTGGGTGCAGGAGATGGAGGCTGGGCCCAGTGGTCTCTGGGGTTGGGCCCTTTGCTCCCGTCCAGGCAGCTGGGAGAGGCTTGGTTCCCAGCCATAAATATTTGAAAATGCATATGTTGAGCAGGCTGCTGGAAGAGGGATTAATAACCCACGGAAATTACGTCCTACCAGGGTCTCACCAAGTGCCCTGGCTGAGGTTGATGGAAACCAGAGTTGCGGAAAATGTGTAGATGTGATAGCATCAGAGAGAGAGGCATGTCTCAGAATCATGACTCTTGGTACTGAAGGGGCTCAGTGGCCTTCTTGCCTGACCCCATCCAGGCCAGGTGCCCGCCTCTGGGGAGCAGCTGCAGGAAGCAGGCCAGGGAGCTCAGGGGACCAGGTCCTGGCACTGCAGTCGGGTGGCCCAGCCATCGAGGGGCTCAGGGCTTGGCTTCAAGCCAGGCAGTCTTGTATGCTCCCCACTCGCAGGAGTCAGGACCCAGAAAGTCACACAGTGGGGCCTGCCTGTCTCCCACGAGCACGGGCTGCCTCCTGGGCTTCGGAGGGCGGGTCTGGCCAGGCAGAATCTGGCAGGGAAGGCTAGGACAGAGGCCTGCCCAGACCTGCGGTCGCCACACCCATGGGAGGGAAGGCTAAGGCAACGTGGTGGCTTCCCTTTGGCTGGCTGTCGCACAAGCCTCCCCAAGACGGCACAGGATGTTTTCTTAAGTTTTACTAGACTCTGGCAGCCTTGTGCTGCTCAGAAGAAAGAATTGTTTGCTTCCCTGTGTAAAGCTAGACTAAGGATGATTATCTCGATTATCTCCAGTTTCATCTTCTGGGCTGACTCAGGAACCTCAGAGGTGGACAAGCCCCGAGCCCTGACGGCTTGGCCCCCCAGCTTCAGGCACAGCTCCCTGTTTGCATTTCCGTTGGTGCCTTGCATCCAAGGTTGGAGGCCCTGGTGGTGAGGCCCAGGTGAGCAGCCGCCCACAGGGTCGGGCAGAGGCCTGGCCCATGCTCAGACTGGATGCCAGCACACCCAGTGGGAGGAGTGCAGTGCCCAGGGCCCGGCTCCCTTCCCCCTTCCCCACGGTGTCCGACTGCCACCCAGGACGCCAGATCAGGCATTCAGTGACACGGGGAGGGAGCCCTGCCCCTGCTCTGAGCCGCCTGCCCAAGATGGTTCCTCCAGCTGCAGATGAGGAAACGAGCTCAGAGGCGCCAGGAACAGAGCCGGGGCCTGTCCTCGCTGCAGCTGTGTGACCGCAGGGCGCAGAGCCAGGAGGGACTGACCTAGTACCATTCTTATTCTTGTATTTGTTTTTCCTTTTTATTATGAAAGTTATGAAAAATGTGTAGCGATAGTGAAACTGAAGTGAGCCCTGGCGCATCACGCAGCCCTGTGGGTCCACCCCGCGTGTCCCCCGGCGGGCACCCTCTGGTCCACCCTGCGTGTCCTCCGGTGGCTGCTTCTGAAGCACATCCCAGAGGTCATTTCATTTCCTCCATAAGTTCACGTCTGACAGATACAGACTCTTTAAAACAAAACCACGATACTGTGCCACAACTAGAAATAGATTAAAACAGTTCCTTAATATTACAATTCCAGTCACTTGTCACATTCCTCCAGTGGGCTCATCGTTACGAACAGCTTTGTGGATCGGGGCCCTGGCAGATGCGGCCCAGCCTTGCCCGCCGGCTGCGTGTGCCGGCCGCGCTGTCCTTTGGCAGCAGGACCCTGGCTCCTGGAACGTAACTCGTAGGTGGACCCGGAGGCTCTGGCAGACTCTCGTTTGAATTATTCAGCAGCATGTTGGGGGATGCGCAGGTCCCATCCAGGCGTGAAGGTGTCTCTGAATGACGCTGACACCTGGGCTTTCCCCGGTGCCCCCTCTGCTCCTTCCCACGGCCACGCCGACATCTGTGGACATTGCTGACGACATTGTGTTGTCACCGCACTGTGACTCCTGAGGGGGCCGCAGCCATGGCGCTGTGTCCCAAAGGAGCCCGCAGTGCTTCCTCTGTGGGGGTTAGTGCTAACTTGATACACAGATTCACTTCTTCCACTTTGTTTTCTCTATTTAGGGAGTTTTATAAAATGTGCTTTGTCGCAAAGTCAAAAAGGAAACGTCCAAGTGTGCCCGGCCGCCCCCGTGGCCTGGGTGCCTGAGCTCCCACCTCTTCCTCTCTGTTGGGTAAACAGGAGGTGGGGGTGGCGAGCCTTGCTCTGTGAAGGACCCCAGGTTCACTGGCAGGGCTGAGCTGGGCGTCTCCAGCTCTGTGCTTAGCCCCGGGGACCCTGGTGGCCAGTGGTGTTGGGGCAGGGAGGCCTCGGTCCCACCCACGGATCATTTAGGTTGGACAGAGCCCCTGTCTGAGCCCTGAGACACACTGAGCCCTGTGCATGGCCTTGGAGCTTCAGGTGAGGACACGTTTCCTGTGTTTCCCCAGGCTTCACTCATCGGTGCCGGGAGCTGCCACCCAGCCATGGAGGGGGAGGAGGAGCAGCCACCTCGGGAGGTTAGAGGCCTGGGCTGGGGGTGCCAGGGCCCTGCTTCCTGAACAACCTCGGGCTCAGGGCTGGGCCAGCTGCTTAGCAGAGTGTGGGGTCCCAGAGGACACCCCCTCCTTGGTGTTGCCTCCTGGAGTCACTCTGGCTGTTCTTTGCATAGAACTTCATGTGTTTCCTGAGGTGTTCCTGGGTCAGTCGAGGGGGACTGTGGGGCAGGGCGCCCTCAGGGTGGGCTGCATACAAGGTGATTGTCACGGAGAGACTTGTAGTCCTCGGGAGTGTGACCCACAGGGCCTGGGTTTTCCAGGAGGTTGTAGAGCAGCCCCAGGAATCCTGGGCAGGCCCCAGAGAGGGGGGCACCCCAACTCAAACGCCCCCCTTCCCTCTGCAGGCTGACACGGAACCCATCGTGATGTCGGGGGCCTCAGAGGTGGTGCCCAGGGTACTTTCCGGAGAACCCCAGAACCTGTGTGCGTGCTCCCTGGGGTCACTTGGTGCTGGGCAGGAGGGGTGGGCAGCTGCCTGGCTAGTGGGGGCTTGGACGGGGTGACCTGAGTTTGTGGTGAACCCTGGCCCACCCAGGGTGTTGGGACAGGCTCTTGGGCACAAGTGGAGTGAGGGGAGCTGTAGCAGAGGCCCCCTCCTCGGGGCGGGAGGGCCGGTGCTTTGGAGCTGCCCTGTAGCTACTTGGCCCTGCATGGCCTCCCTGTCCTGGGGCTCCCCCTCATGGAGGGTGCAGAGCTTGCCAAGGCCCAGGCCACTTTGCTCAGGGTGGGGTCTGGTCAGATGGCACCATACCCAGGCCACGCTGTGGTGAGCAAGGACCATGGTGGCTCGTCCAGGCTGGGATGCCCCGTGGATGGTGCTGCTTGCTGGCACCGTCTGGGTTCCAGGGTGCACGCGGCCCCACCTGGCGCCCTTGCAGTCCTGAGGGCCTGGAACCCAGGCCCCAAGCTGGACCTCGCTGTCCTTGCAGCCGACGTGGACGCTTTCAACCTGCTCCTGGAGATGAAGCTGAAGAGGCGGCGAGAACGGCCAAACCTGCCGCGCACGGTGACAGAGCTGGTGGCCGAGGATGGGAGCAGGGTGTACGTGGTGGGCACAGCCCACTTCAGTGATGACAGCAAGAAGGACGTTGTGAGGGTGAGGCCCGTCACGCAGGTCTGACCCCCGGCAGGGCCACAGCCCTTTCCCGTGAGCATCTGCCACGACGCCAACGCTCCTCCGCAAGGAGGTTTCTGATTCCACAGGCCCTATGCTCAGTCTCATGTGGGTTTTCTTTTTAAAGACAAGTATACCTATTTTGCAACTTCCTCTTTTTAGTTGCTTAAAGAACTGAGTTGTTGATGGGCCGGCCCCGTGGCTTAGCGGTTAAGTGCGCGCGCTCTGATGCTGGCGGCCCGGGTTCGGATCCCGGGAGCGCCCCGAGGCACCACTTCTCCGTCC